CAAGCTATGTATTTACTTTTATATTTAGTCCTCTAGCCTTTCTTCTATTTTCTTTTCAAACTCTGGTTCCCTCTACCTCTTGATCCATGATTTTTATAAAATGTCCTTGTCCTGCTCCAATTGATTAATTGACAGGTGCAGATCCTCCATTATTATAATGTTCTCTCCTCAAGATCACGTGAAGTGTTAATATCACTTTATAATGCCTTAGTAAGGCCACATTGGAATACTGCATCCGGTTTTGGTCACCACAATGTAAAAAAGATATTGAGACACTAGAAAGAGGGCAGAGAAGAGCAACAAAGACAATTAGGTGATTGGAGGTTAAAACATATAAAGAACAATTGCTGGAATTGGGTATGTCTAGTTTAATGAAAAGTAGGATTAGGGGTTCCAATATCTCAGGGGCTGCCACAAAGAAGAGGTAGTCAAGCTATTCTCCAAAGCACCTGAGGGTAAGGAGGAAACTAATCAAGGAGAGAAGCAACTTAGAACTAAGGAAAAATTCCCTGACAGTTAGAACAATTAATCAGTGGAACAACTTGCTTCAACACTGGAAGATTTTAAGAAGCAATTGAATAACCATTTGTCTGGAGTGGTGTGGGGGTTTCCTGTCTAAGTAGGTAGTTGGACTAGAAGACCTCCAAGGTCCCTTCCAACTCTGTTATTCTCTTCTCTTCTATTTTCAGGGTCAATTTGCCTCCAGAGCAAGTCACAAAGGTCACAGTGGGGCGGCTGCACTTCAGTGAGACCACGGCCAATAACATGAGGAAGAAGGGGAAGCCTAATCCTGATCAAAGGTAAGCTTCCACTTGGTGACTTTTATTGAAGATTTCCAGTGCTATTTTTTCAACATAAAGGTTTCAGGATAGTAATCAAATGTGTATAAGAGAAACCAATGTGGAATTTAAAATAACTTTGGTGGTTAAGGATCAAGGGACACCCAAATTCAGTATCTACTTTCAGCTAAAGAATCACACTGAATAACTGGGTCAGTCATTCTCTTATGCCCAACCTGCCTCACAAACTTTTTGGGGCTATGTAAATGGCCATAAGTAAGGATACCTCACTATTGATTCCCGAGGTGCCTGTCTACATGTCTCCACCTTTATCTCAATATCTTCTTACAGCTGAGTCACCTGAGGATGGCCTAGGGTGCTACACTCTGGGAGGGTTTCCCTAAGGTGCCATGTCAAAAAGCTGTGTCCAGGCACAGTAGGAAGTGATGAAGTTTATTGGGAAGGCAGCCCAATTTGACACACTTTTGCCAACAATCTTGTGGTTCCAGTTGATTCTGGTTTCCTTTGAGACCATGTCTTTAGTCTGGCCCCGACTTACTCACTTGCCTTTTAGTCCTCTTGTGTTTACAAGATCTGAACTCTGTCATCTGCAACCACTTTTCTTTTTTTAATTAGTTGATTGATCATTCAATGAAAAGCCCTGAAATTGACCAGCCTGTGCCTATAATTGGAAGTGTAATTGAAAGGGCTTGTCTCATGCAATTCTGTACAGTAGCCTCTTTGCAGACAATGGCTTTCCCATGCTGTTGCTTCCAGGGAAGCTCTGGCTACTTCCTTCCCCTCTTTATATTCTCTATCATGAAATTTAGAAATTTATAGTTTACAGATCCCACACTGATTTCCCATAGCTAAGTGGGGTTCTTCAGTAGAACTTATTCCATAGCTGTATCCCAGTGGCAGAAATCCAGGCTAGCATTGGATGGCAGCCAAGAGATACAAAACAATGTATGTGCCCAACTTTTTGCTGCCACCTAAGTGTCTATACGTTGAATAGGCCATCTGTTGAGCCAAAGTTTCAAAAAACAATAATGGTAAAATATTCAATTGTTAATGCATTGGGAACAGGGAAAAAATGATAGTGCATAGAGAAAGCAGAGCTCTGTGAGTGCCACATGGAGTAGGCTAAAATTTCA